GGACAGACATTTCCAGCGCTGCAGAGCTCAGGCTAGGAGTGGACAGCTGTGGCTGATTTGAGAGAGCCCGTCTCCTCCTTGACTCACTGGTTCCCTGGATCTCGGGGAAGGCTGTCCTCTAGGCTCACCACCTGCTTACTCCAAACCGTAACACCAGCCCAAGAGAGCCACGGAGCAGAAATGCAGGGCCGTCTCTCTCCTGCCATGAGAGATGGTTTGGCTTCTGGCTTCAACCCTTCACCACAGTCTCTCGTGGGCACCTCTCAAGTCGTCCCCTAAACACAGAGCCTCGGGCTGAGGGTGTTGAGAGCCTCGAGGTCCCTTCAGAATCTGAGGCAGCATGTGGCTGTTGCATGGAGGTTCCCAGGGTCGTTCTAAGGGCCCAGTCTGGAAGTCCTCAGAGGGACAGGCAGGGGATAATCAGCAGAGAGAAGCCCCGGCTAGCCTGGAGCACTGAGGGTGCTGTTGCTGGCAGCTGAGTCCTTCCCCAAGGGCCTTGACACCAGCAGCTTCCCGGGGAGGGCTCTGTGATCTACGGGAGGCTGAGTCCCCTCCAAAAGAGACATTGGAGTCCTCACCTCAGGGCCTTAGGATGGCACCATGCTTGGGGACAGTCTTTCCTCAGACTGAGTTAAACTGAGGTTGTTAGGGAATACCCTGACCCAGCAGGACTGATGCCACTGCGAGAATTGGGGATTTGGACCCAGGACACACACAAGGGAAGCAGGGGATAGGGAACAGGAAGACCGACTGCTTCCTGCTGGGAAGCAGTTCCCCAGGCAACCAGAGGCCACGGGTACCTGGCACACCCTTTCCAGGACCTGGGCAGGATTCCAGCCCTGCTGGCATCCGCACTTCACAGCCCCTCCAAACACGGGGCAATATATTTCTGCTGCTCCAAGACCACAAAGCCTGTGGCCCCTCCCGAGGGGAGGCTCTGAAACTAAGCCAGGGTTCACGCCCTCCTGACCCTGCCGGAAGAACTGAACGGTATGCATGCTGGTGTTTTCCTCTGCTTTTGTTGTCATGCCTGGGTGCCTCTCTCTCTCTCTCTCTCTCTCTCTCTCTCTCCCTCTCTTCCTCTCTCTCCTCCTCTCTTCC